CAAATGTTCAGTAACACAAAATCAAGAATATTATGTAAACACCAAAAATAAAGTAAAATTCCTAAAAGAAACAATAATTCCAGAGACTGAAAAAATAAAAATAAAAAATGAGGCCACAAATAATCAAATGTAAGGGTGAAACAGATTATGATGCTATCTCAACAACAAAGTCTATCCTGAATAAGAAAATGAATATGTAATATTAAGAGATCTTAAAAAAAAAAACTACTGTCCTTTTTTTCTTATTAAGAAATTATAAATCATTTGGAATAGTAGAGTTTAATTAATTTTTTTCCAATGGCTACTGCTGGGGAGGGCAAACAATAATCAAAAGACTTTCTACCCTGAAATCAAACCACTCACCAAGGGATAACTACTGCAGTAAAAAACCATAAACATTCTAAAAAAATACATAAACTGTTTGTCAACTTGAAGTTTAGCATAAATTAAACTTTAAAAATAACTCTTTTAAGACATTTAAGGAGCATACCACTAAATCTTGATCTTGAAGCAAGTTACAGATTGCCTCATATAGCATGGGTCTTAAGTCAGACTTGAATTTCACAGAAATCCACTGACCAATGAGCCAAATCACCCTGCGTCGCAGTGGCTTATACCTAAGATAGGAAAAAATCATGAAATTAGAATGTTAAATATTTTAAGAAGTCTATTTGATTCAGTATATTTCACTTAAATCTAAAATACAGTAAGAAATGCAATCTGCATTTTTTATAAAGACCTTAAAAGCTTCTTCTAAATATACCATGGTACGAAATGCTAACAATAAAGATCCAATCTAAATAAATGAATTCTTAAACAGGTATGTTGTAAACTTGATTCTTTTGGATTAAAAAACTGTAACATAGGTAACATAAAAACCAAGTCCATTTCTGTTTCTCCGGTAACTAAAAATAGTGCTAATGCTCCAAATCTTAAAGCTGGAAAAGTCCCAAAACTTAATAATAAAGAAGCTCCTGTATTCACTTTCCTACTCCAATTTTGTTAATACCGTAAAGATTTTCAGAACAAATTTAAAAATTCATATAAATTTACTGATTTCAGCTAAGCTGATTTTGTCAGAGTCACCCAATTACAGAATGTGACTCAGATTATAAAAATAATGACTTATATTTTAAAAGTTGTAAAACATTTGCAGTAACATGTAAATAAATTTCTTTCTCTCTGATCATCTTTGCTAAAGGAAATGAAGACTCTTTAGGCAAGGGAAAAATCATTAAATTCAAAACGTTTGTGTCCAAGAATTCCACTTATAAAGTATCTTGATATTATATAAATTTTAGGCCAGATGTG